GTGGCCTCGGTGCTCGTGTTCATCTTCATCCTCCTGATGCGGTACAAGATCCACAACAACCAGCCCAAGGCCAAGGGCAAGTCCCACGTGTGCTCCCAGACCAACGGCGGCGCCGTGGGCAGGTCCAGCTCCTCCAAGCTGGAGCAGCTGGAAGGTTCCGGAACGGCGGCCAAGGGCAGGGACTGGGAGGGGGAGAAAGGGGAAGGGCTGGAGGGGGGCGTCGTGATGGGGGCGGTGGGGCTGGGGAGGGGCAAGAGCCAGGCCTGGAGGTGCAGAGCGGATCCAGAACCGATCCTGGAGGTCCAGAACCCATCCAGGAGATCCAGAACCGATCCAGAACTGAGCCTGGAGGTGCAGAGCGGATCCAGAACCCATCCTGGAGATCCAGAACTGATCCAGAACTGAGCCTGGAGGTGCAGAGCGGATCCAGAACCAATCCTGGAGATCCAGAACCGAGCCTGGAGATCCAGAACCCATCCTGGAGATCCAGAATTGATCCAGGAGATCCAGAACCCACCCAGGAGATCCAGAACAGATCCAGAACTGAGCCTAGAGGTGCAGAGCAGATCCAGAACCCATCCAGGAGATCCAGAACCGATCCTGGATGTTCAGAACCTCTCCAGGAGATCCAGAACTGAGCCTGGAGGTGCAGAACATCTCCAGGAGATCCAGAACTGAGCCTGGAGATCCAGAACAGATCCAGAACCCATCCAGGAGATCCAGAATCGATCCAGAACCGATCCTGGAGATCCAGAACCCATCCAGGAGAGCCAGAACTGAGCCTGGAGGTGCAGAGCAGATCCAGAACCCACCCAGGAGATCCAGAACTGATCCAGAACTGAGCCTGGAGATCCAGAACTGAGCCTGGAGGTGCAGAGCGGAGCCTGGAGGTCCAGAACTTCTCCAGGACATCCAGAACTGATCCTGGAGGTCCAGAATTGATCCAGGATGTCCAGAACCGATCCAGAATTGATCCTGGAGGTCCAGAACATCTCCAGGAGATCCAGAACTGAGCCTGGAGGTGCAGAGCGGAGCCTGGAGGTCCAGAACTTCTCCAGGACATCCAGAACTGATCCTGGAGGTGCAGAATTGATCCTGGATGTCCAGAACTGATCCAGAATTGATCCTGGAGGTCCAGAACATCTCCAGGAGATCCAGAACTGAGCCTGGAGGTGCAGAACCAATCCAGGACCTCTCCAGGAGATCCAGAATTGATCCAGAAGATCCTGGATGTCCAGAACTGATCTTGGAGGTTCAGAACTTCTCCAGAAGATCCAGAACTGATCCTGGAGGTCCAAAGCATCTTCAGGAGATCCAGAATCGATCCAGAACCTCTCCAGGAAATCCGACATTGATCCAGGAACTCCAGAATTGTTCCAGGAGATCCAGAATGGCTCCAAGGACAGCTCTGGGAGGGTTTGGGTTGATCCAGGAGATCCAGAACCTCTCCAAGCGTTCCAGAACAGCTCCAAGGGCACCTCTGGAGTGGCTGCCATTGCTCCAAGAGCTTCAGAACCTCTCAAAGAGATCCAGGACCCCTCCAAGAGCTCTGGAACGGCTCCAAGGGCACCTCTGGAGTCATTCCAGCCCCTCCAGAACCTCCGGAACCTCTCACAGGACCCCTCTGGATCCCCTGCAGAAGCTCCAGAACCGCTCTGAGGACACCTCTGCATCCACCCCAGCGCTTCTGGAATCATCCGGAACCTCCCGAGCTTCTCCAGAACCGCTCCAAGGACCCTTCCGGGTCCCCTCCGGAACCTCCAGAACTTCTCCAAAGCCTCCAGAACCTCTCTGAGGACTCCTCTGGATCCCCTCCAGAACCTCCAGAACCACGCAAAGGCCTCCAGGACCTGTGGAACTCCTCCAGGACCCTCCAGAACCACTCCAAGGACTCTTCTGGATCCCTTCCGGAACCATCCAGAACCTCTGGATCCCCTCCAGAACCTCCAGAACCTCTGGAACTCCTCCAGGACCATCCGGAACCTCCAGAACCACTCCAAGGACACCTCTGGATCCCTTCCGGAACCTTCCAGAACCTCCAGGACCTCTGGATCCCTTCCGGAACCTTCCAGACCCATCCGGAAGCTCCGGCAGCAGCAGCTGCAGCTCCAGGGGCTCCTCGGGGCTCCCGCTGCCATTTTAAGCTTCACCCTCGTCTATTTTTAAGCTCAGATGGTTTCAAAGATATTTTTTTAAAAATCCTTGTCCACGGACGCCCTTCGGGAATTTTCTTTGGGAATTTCGGATCCCCCCGAGCCTGCCAATCCCAGAGGGGATTTTTGGTTTATTTTATTTTATTTTACTTAATTTAATTTAATTTTGCTTTATTTTATTGAATTTTTTAAACATTTAATTTAATTTTACTTTATTTTATTTTATTTTACTTAATTTAATTTAATTTTACTTTATTTTATTTTATTTTATTTTTAAAGATTTAATTTAGTTTTATTTTTTAAGATTTAATTTAACTTTATTTTATTTGTATTATTTATTTATTATTATTAACTTTATTTATCTTATTTATCTTACATTTATTTAACTTTATTTATTAACTTAATTTTATTTTAACTTTATTTATTTAATTTAACTTTATTTTATATTAATTTAAAAATTTAATTTTTAAAATTTTATTTTATTATTTATTTTATTTTATTATTTTATTAAACTTAATTTTATTATTTTATTTTACTTTATTTTATATTTTATTTTATCTTATTTTCTATTTTATTTTACTTTATTTTATATTTTATTTTATTTTCTATTTTACTTTATTTTATATATTAACTTATTTTATTTTCCATTATTTTATTTAATTTTATTTTATATTAATTTTCTTTTCCCAGAATTTCTGGAGGACTTTCTGGGTTATTTATTGAATTGAATTTTCAAAACTTTTAATTTTTAAAGATTTTATTTATTTATTTAATTATTTATTTATTTGGGGGGGATTTTTTTTAACCTTTTTTTGGGGGAGATTTTTTTTGCTGGGGAATTTTTTAAATCTTTTTTTTTTTCTTTTTAATTTTGTTGGAATTTTGGGGGGATTTTTTTCAAGGTTTTTTGGGAGTTTTTTGGGACTTTTTGGGTTTTTGTTTTTGTTTTCCCGGTGTTGGATCCGAGACTTTTTTGGTAAAAAAAAAAAAGAAAAAAGAAAAAAAAAAAGACAAAAGAACAACAAAAAAAAAAGGAAAAAAAAAAGGAAAAAAAGAAAATCCCGGGAATTTTTTTTGTTTCTGAATCCAGCTGGGAACCCCCTCAGGATCCTGGGATTCCCCAAAAACCAAAAGCAGAAAAAGCTGGAATTCTTCATCGCTCCGAGGATTTGTTATAAAAATTCTTAATTTCGCAATTCCGAGTGGAGTTTTTTGGGGAATTTGGGGGGTTTGGGGTGGGGAATTCTGAGGGATCCTTAAAAAAAAATGGGAAAAATGGGGAATAAATGGGGGAAAATGGGGAATAAATGGGGGAAATTGGGGAAAATGGGGCAAAATAGGAAAAGTGGGGAAAAAATGGGGAAAATTGGGAAAAACAGAGGAAAAATCAGGAAATTGGGAAAAACCAGAGGAAGATGGGAGGAAAAGGGAGGGAATGGGCAAAAAAGAGGAAAAATGGGATTTGAGGAATTCTGGGAATGCTGGGAGAGAGAATCCAGTGAATTTTGGGGTAAATTCCTCAAATTCCTCCCAAAATTCCCCCCAAAATCAACACAAAGACACCAAAACCTCAAAATCCATTTATTGAAGTGACTGAAAATGGGAAATTTTTGGGAAATCTCTGGAATTCCGGGATTTTTTCAGGATTTGGGAATTCAGGGGGATCTCCCCAATGTCCAAACCCCCAAAATTTGGGATCAAAACCCCAAAATTCCCTAAAAAATAAACCCCAACACAAAACCACCAGAACTCCTTCGAAATTCCGTTTATTAAAGCGACAAAAAATGAGGGGAATTTTTGGGGAGAAAACGCTGAAATTCCAGGATTTCTCCCCAGTATCCAAACCCCCAAAATTTGGGATAAAAACCCCCAAAACTCCCTAAAATAAACCCCAACACAAAACCACCAGAACTCCTTTGAAATTCCGTTTATTGAAACCCGAAGAGCGCAGGGGGGTTGGGGTTTTTTGGGGGGAAACGCTGAAATTCCGGGATTTTTTCAGGATTTGGGAATTCCAGGGTTTCTCCCCAGTATCCAAACCCCCAAAATTTGGGATAAAAACCCCAAAATTCCCTAAAATAAAACCCAACACAAAACCACCAAAACTCCTTCAAATTCCATTTATTAAAGCGACAAGAAATGAGGGGAATTTTTTGGGGGAAACGCTGAAATTCCAGGATTTTTTGAGGATTTGGGAATTCCAGGGTTTCACCCCAGTATCCAAACCCCCAAAATTTGGGATAAAAACCCCAAAATTCCCTAAAATAAAACCCAACACAAAACCACCAAAACTCCTTTGAAATTCCGTTTATTGAAACCCGAAGAGCGCAGGGGTTTGGGGTTTTTTGGGAGAAAACGCTGAAATTCCATGATTTTTTCAGGATTTGGGAATTCCAGGGTTTCTCCCCAGTATCCAAACCCCCAAAATTTCCCAAAATTTGGGATAAAAACCCCAAAATTCCCTAAAAATAAACCCCAACACAAAACCACCAGAACTCCTTCCAAATTCCGTTTATTGAAACACGAAGAGCGCAGGGGGTTGGGGTTTTTTGGGGGGAAACGCTGAAATTCCGGGATTTTTTCAGGATTTGGGAATTCCAGGGTTTCTCCCCGGTATCCAAAGCCCCAAAATTTGGGATAAAACCCCCAAATTCCCTAAAATAAACCCCAACACAAAACCACCAAAACTCCTTCAAACTCCGTTTATTAAAGCGACAAAAAAAATCGGGAATTTTTGGGGAGAAACTCTGGAATTCCAAGGTTTCTCCCCAGTATCCAAACCCCCCAAAATTTGGGATAAAAACCCCCAAATTCCTTAAAATAAACCCCAACACAAAACCACCAAACTCCTTCGAAATTCCGTTTATTGAAACCCGAAGAGCGCAGGGGGTTGGGGTTTTTTGGGGGGAAAACGCTGAAATTCCGGGATTTTTCCTGGCGATTCCCGGATTTCCCGGCAATTCCCGGATTTCCCTGGCAATTCCCGGATTTTCCAGGTAATTCCCGGATTTCCAGGCTCACCTGAGCAGGTGGAAGGTGAGCCAGTACATGAAGAGCGGCTGCGCGGCGGCGATGGCCATAGTCAGGTACATGCGCAGCTGATTCTTGGCTCCGCGCACCAAAACCCCCTCGGCCGCCGCCTCCGACAGCAGCTTCAGCCGCAGAGTCCGGATCTGGGGAGAAATCCGGGAAATTTGGGAAAAGTGGGATTTAGAACCAAAGAAAAAGCCAAAAAAAGGCCAAAAATCCCATTAAAATTGCATTAAAAACCCCCAAAATCGGCCCCAAAACCCCCTCAGCCACCAGACCCAGAGCAGCTTCAGCCGCAGCGTCCGGATCTGGGGCAAATTCACCAAAATTTGGGATTGAGAACCAAAAAAAAAGCAAAAAAACCACCAAGATTCCCCCCAAAAATCCCCAAATGCCCCCAAAAATCCATTGAAATTGCATTTAAAAGCCCCAAAATCAGCCCCAAAACCCCCTTGGCCGCCACACACCCAGAGCAGCTTCAGCCTCAGTGTCCGGATCTGGGGAGAAATCCGGGAAATTTGGGGAAAATTGGGATTTAGAACAAAAAAAAAACCCCAAAAAAAACCCCAAAAAACCCAAAAAAACAAAAAAAAAAAAAACCAACAAAAAAAAAAACAAAAAAACCCCAAAAACCCCAAAAAAACCCCCAAAAAAAACAAAAAAAAAAAAACCCAAAAAAACCCCCAAAAAACCCAAAAAAACCCCAAAAAAACAAAAAAAAAAACCCCAAAAAAACCCCAAAAAATCCCAAAAATCCCAAAAAGCCCCAAAAGCCCCAGACTCACCATGAAGACAAAAATGCTCAAACAGCACCAGGTCAAGGCCACGTAGTACCCAACCCTGCCCAGGAGCAGCCCGGCCACGAGCCCCACGATCATCCTGGAGAAATGGGGGGTGAACCAAAAACGGGGAGTTTAAACCCAAAATTGGGGAGTTTAACCCCAAAATTTGAGATTTTAAGCCAAAATTGGGGACTTGAAGCCAAAATTGGGGGAATTTTAAACCAAAATTTGGGATTTTAACCCCAAAATTGGGGATTTTAGCCCCAAAATGGGGAGTTTAACACCAAAAATGGGGAGTTTAAACCCAAAAATTGGGGGATTTTAACCCTAAAATTGGGGGGATTTTAAACCAAAATTTGGGATTTTAACCCCAAAATTGGGGGATTTTAACCCCAAAATTGGGGATTTTAGCCCAATATTGGGGACTTTAAGCCAAAATTGGGGGTTTTAACTCCAAATTGGGGGATTTCAACCCAAAACTCTGAGTAAAAACCCCAAATTTGGGGGATTTTGTGGAATTTTTGGGGTGTTTTGAGCGGGATTTTGAGGGAATTTGTGGCAATTTTGGGGCAATTCCTGGTGATTTCGGGGCATTTCAAGGAGGTGTTTTGAGATTTTTGGGTAAAAACCCCAAATTTGGGGAATTTTGGGGATTATTTTGAATTTTGGGGGATTGGGAGAGAACTTTGGGGGGAGAATTGAGGCATTTCCAGTGGATTTTGAGGGAATTTGTGGTGATTTTGGGGCATTTCAAGGTGATTTTTGGGGTAAAACCACCAAATTTGGGGATTTGGGGGATGATTTTGAATTTTGGGGGATTGAGAGAGGACTTTGGGGGGGAATTGGGGCGTTTTGAGCGGGATTTTGAGGGAATTTGTGGGAATTTTGGGGCAACTCATGGCGATTTTGGGGCATTTCAAGGGTTTTTTGGTGGATTTTGGGGGTAAAAACGCCAAATTTGGGGAATTTGGGGATTTTGGGGATTTTTTTGAATTTTGGGGGATTGGGAGAGAACTTTGGGGGGAAATCAGGGCATTCCCAGTGGGATTTTGAGGGAATTTGTGGCGATTTTGGGGCAATTCCTGGCAAGTTTGGGGCATTTCAAAGGTTTTTTGGGGGATTTTGGGGGTAAAAATGCCAAATTTGGGGATTTTGGGGATTATTTCGAATTTTGGGGGATTGGGAGAGGACTTTGGGGGGGAATTGGGGCGTTTTGAGCGGGATTTTGAGGGAATTTGTGGCGATTTTGGGGCAACTTGTGGCGATTTTGGGGCATTTCGAGGGGTTTTTTTGGAATCTGTTGGGGATTTTTGGGGTAAAACATGGGGATTTTGGCTCACCCCACGTATTTGTAGCCAGCAAAGGCCAGGAGGTCGATGGGGGTGAGGTCGGTGCTGACGGTGACCAAGTAAAGGCTCAGGAGAACGCTCAGCACCTCCAGCAGCAGCCAGGCCAGCGCCGAGCTCGCCACCAGCCCCAGGCTGTCCGGGGAAAATCTGGGGATTTAACACCAAAAAAATTGAGGGGTTTGGGTGGGGAAACGTTGGGGAAAAATTGGGGGAAAATTTGGAAAAAAAATGGGAAAAAAATTGGGGAAAAATCGGGTGAAAAATGGGGAAAAAACAGAGAAAAAATTGGATTTTTTGGGATTTTTTTAGGGTTTTTGTTCTGTTTTTTGGGGATTTTTGGAGGGGTTTTGGGGGGATTTTTGGGGGTTTTTTTGAGGGGTTTATTTGGGTTTTTTGAGGTTTTTTGGGGGATTTATTGGAGGTTTTTTGGCTCAGGAGAACGCTCAGCACCTCCAGCAGCAGCCAGGCCAGCGCCGAGCTCGCCACCAGCCCCAGGCTGTCCGGGGAAAATCTGGGGATTTAACACCAAAAAAATGAGGGGTTTGGGTGGGGAAACGTTGGGGAAAAATTGGGGGAAAATTGGGTGAAAATCGGGGAAAAATCGGGTGAAAAACGGGGAAAAAACGGGGAAAAAACGGAGAAAAAATTGAATTTTTTGGGATTTTTTTTAGGGTTTTTGTTTCGGTTTTTGGTGATTTCTGGAAGGGTTTATTTGGATTTTTTTGAGGGTTTTTTGAGGTTTTTTGGGCGATTTATTGGAGGTTTTTTGGCTCAGGAGAACGCTCAGCACCTCCAGCAGCAGCCAGGCCAGCACCGAGCTCGCCACCAGCCCCAGGCTGTCCGGGGAAAATCTGGGGATTTAACACCAAAAAAATGAGGGGTTTGGGTGGGGAAATGTTGGGGAAAAATTGGGTGAAAATTGGGTGAAAATCGGGGAAAAATCGGGTGAAAAACGGGGAAAAAACGGAGAAAAAACGGAGAAAAAATTGGATTTTTTGGGATTTTTTTAGGGTTTTTGTTTCGGTTTTGGGGATTTTTGGAAGGGTTTATTTGGGTTTTTTTGAGGGTTTTATTTGGGTTTTTTTGAGGTTTTTTGGGTTTTTTTGGGGGATTTATTGGAGGTTTTTTGGCTCAGGAGAACGCTCAGCACCTCCAGCAGCAGCCAGGCCAGCGCCGAGCTCGCCACCAGCCCCAGGCTGTCCGGGGAAAATCTGGGGATTTAACACCAAAAAATTGAGGGGTTTGGGTGGGGAAACGTTGGGGAAAAATTGGGGAAAAGTTGGGGAAAAGGAGAAAAAAATTGGGGGAAAATCGGGTGAAAAACGGGGGAAAAATGGAGAAAAAATTGGATTTTTTGGGATTTTTTTACGGTTTTTGTTTCGGTTTTTGGGGATTTTTGGAGGGTTTTATTTGGTTTTTTTGAGGGGAGGTTTGGGGGTTTTTGGGGTTTTTTTGGGATTTTTTGGCTCAGCACCGAGCTCGCCACCAGCCCCAGGCTGTCCGGGGAAAATCTGGGGATTTAACCCAAAAAAATGAGGGGTTTGGGTGGGGAAAAAATGGGGAAAAATTGGGGAAAAAACGGAGAAAAAATTGGATTTTTTGGGATTTTTTTTAGGGTTTTTGTTTCGGTTTTTGGGATTTTTGGGGGGATTTTGGGGGAATTTTTGGGATTTTTTGGCTCAGCACCGAGCTCGCCACCAGCCCCAGGCTGTCCGGGGAAAATCTGGGGATTTCAAACCAAAAAATTGAGGGGTTTGGGTGGGGAAAAATTGGGGAAAATTGGAAAAAAATTGGAAAAAAATTGGGGAAAAATCGGGTGAAAAACAGGGAAAAAACGAAGAAAAAATTGAATTTTTTGGGATTTTGTTTTAGGGTTTTTGTTTCGTTTTTTGGGGATCTTTTGGGGGGATTTTGGGGGTTTTTTGGGGTTTTTTTTTTAGGTTTTTTTGGGATGTTTGGGGGATTTATTGGGGTTTTTTGGCTCAGTACCGAGCTCGCCACCAGCCCCAGGCTGTCTGGAGAAAACCTGGAAATTTAACCCAAAAAATTGAGGGGTTTGGGTGGGGAAAAATTGGGAAAAAATTGGGGGAAAAATTGGGGGAAGAAATGGGAAAAATTGGGGGAAAAATGGGAAAAACTGGGGGAAAATGTGGGAGAAATTGGGGAAAATTGGGGGGAAAATTGGGGGAAAACTGGGAGAAAATGGGAGGAAATTTGGGGGAAAATTTGGAGAAAAATTGGGGAAAATTGGGGAAAAATTGGGGGAAAATTGGGGGGAAAATGGGATTTTTGGGGAAAAAAGGATTTTTAGGTAAAAAAAAGGGATTTTAGGTAAAAAAAAAGGGATTTTTGTACCTGTTTTGGGTGCCCAAAGCGAGGCCGGCGAGGAGGATGTAGGTGAGGAAGGCCATGGCTGTGAGCAAGAAAATGGGAATTTTGGGGAGATTTTTGGGGAATTTGGGGAATTTTGGGAATTTTGGAGGTTATATTGGGAATTTGGGGAGAATTTTTGGGGGATTTTTGAGAATTTTGGGAGGTTTTGGGGTGCTGAGAATTTTGGGGATCCCTGGGAGGGTTTGGGGGGCACCAGGGTGGATTTGGGGGGGTCCCACGATGGATTTTGGGGGTTTTTGGGGGGTCCCCCAGGGGGGTTTTAGGGGTCCTGAGCTGGATTTGGGGGTTTTGGGGGATCTCGATCTGGATTTGGGGGTCCCGGGGGGGTTTTGGGGGGTTCTGAGCTGGATTTTGGGGTCCCGGGGTTTTTTGGGGTCCTGATCTGGATTTTGGCTTCCCAGGGAGGTCCTGATCTGGATTTTGGGGTTTTTGGGGGTCCTGATCTGGATTTTGGGTTCCCGGGGGTTCCCGATCTGGATTTTGGGGTTTTTGGGAGTCTGATCTGGATTTTGGGGTTCCCAGGGTGTTTTTGGGGTACTGATCTGGATTTGGGGGTTTTTGGGAGTTCTGATCTGGATTTTGGGGGTCCCAGGGGGTCCTGATCTGGATTTTGGGGTCCCCGGGGGTTTTTGGGAGCCCTGATCTGTATTTTGGGGTTCCCAGGGGACCCCGATCTGGATTTTGGGTTTTCATGGGGGTTTTTGGGGTTCCCGATCTGGATTTTGGGGTCCCCGGGGGTTTTGGGGGTCCCCGATCTGGATTTTGGGTTCCCAGGGGGTCCCGATCTGTATTTTGGAGTCCCCGG